TCCCAGGGATTACCTGTATTACAAATATTGTAATATATACTGTATATTTTAACCCAATTTTATGAAGATTGGGATATATACCATTCAGTCAACTACAAATGGAGTGACTTAGAAGCTCAAGTTTACAGGTTTATTAAAATATACAGTCATAGACCAAACACACAGAGGTTAACAATATATTGCACAGCTATCCAATAAAGGCCTATTCATGCCTGAACTAGATACACCTAGGCCCAGAAACTTCTAATTGTCATAGCGATGCTACAAAATCTGGCTACAATTCCAGAGACTTCCTGATCCTGGTCATTTAGCAGTGCACAATTATCATGTAAGAACAATCTGAATAGTCTGTAATTAAAGGGGAGATTAATACAGTTCTCCAAAAGTGGTAGACAGGGCATTTCAAAAGTATGTGTGCTACTTCTCAATTTCAAGGTCTGAACAACTATATGAATGCTATTGGTAAAGAATGCCATTGTATCTACCCAATTGTATCACTGAGGGGACAACATCTAGATGCGCCAATCTGAAAGTCCTCCTGTGAGCTGGGACTAATAAATGATACAGATATTGGGGAATTATAAAAGAAGAATGTGTGAGCTTATTATAGCAGAGATCAGAAGTGTTGGTTCTATCTCTTTGTAAATCAAGATCTAAAATCCTTTGCTTGAGCTCTCTCCAGGATCATCTAAGTCTAGCATAGATACAGAGTGGGGGGTGAGCCCACAACAAACCAAGTATTCCATTACTTGTTTCTTCCAAGAAGGCTGGTACCTGTCTGTCAAAGGGGTTTGGGCTAATGTTTGCCCCCCCCCCCAGTTCTGTTTAACCAATACTTTAACTGGCAGAGTCATAATTGATCCTCAGCTGAAATACAGCCAAGTTCTAGCCAGAGAATTACATTAGTGATAGAGTGGGGAACTCAAAGTCAGGATCTTAGAAATTTAGATTGTACAGCTTCTAATGCACTGAGGTCTTTGTAAGGGCAACACTGTGCATCATACAGCAAAACACTTAGTACTTATGACTTTAAAAAGTTTAATTGATGTGGGCATGTAATTGTTACCCTTACAGGTTGAATATCTAATGATTGCATTAGAGGCTGTTTGGGCTCACAAAGAAAGATTTGAAGAGTGAAGCTTCTAAGATGATGACTGGAAATAGATGTTAAAGTATTGAAAGCCTTCACCTGCTCAATTTAGTAGTTATTGATCTTCCAAATGGTAATTAGCATGTACCTTAGTCAATACAACCATCTTTGTTTCTTATAACCTCAGTAAAATAAATAAAATATCCCTTCCACCTTAAATTCTTCTTGCTCTCATACAACAACATAAGCATATGTCTAGGCTATGAGTGGAAGCTTAATTTCCAGTTTATGTTAACCTTTCAATAGAAAATTCACATGTAAAAATACAATAATGCATTTTTATTGCATTCTATACCCTAAGAATGTTGTAGGTATAATGGTATTAATTTATATATTCAATTTGATTCTACAAAGATACAGGCTTTTTCCAAGCCAGTTAATCTTCTTTCTAATCACCAAAAATAGTAGATTAAGATTACTGAAAGGCTTACATGATCATTAATGGTATGAACTGTGTAAAGGGGAACATTAGGAGAATAAACTCTAATAACATTGAGGGATTAGGCCACTTAATAATGCTGAGGATAGAATGATTCAGAACAGTCAAGAAGTACCTTTTCATCAAACACAAAAAAATCAAATTGAATTTCATGACTACAACATGTGGTACTGAGTTTTCAACTTTCAAAGCTATTTAAAGAAAAAAGAAGCCAAAAACATGGGCAACATCCATGACAGACTTGACAAAGAGATGAAGTCTCTATGACTATAAGCAATATCACTCTCAAGTACTGGGTAACTAACAGGATATCATTATTGCATCATACCCTGCCTGTAAACACTTGACAGCTTACATCTGACTACTATTGAGAAATAGAATGCTAAAATTGTTCCAGAAAGGCAATGTTTATTGTATTTATCAAAATGTTTAACATTCACATGCACTAATTCTTGTAAACCTGGCTGATCCTGCATATGCTTCTATATTAAACCTAGAATCTACTTCCATATTTAAAAGCAAAATCAATCATTTGAAAACAAATGTATTCCAAATATATTAGGGGAGAGTAGGGGAAAAAAAACATGCTGTAATGGTTAAGGTGTTGAACTAGGACTGTGAATACCAGGTTTAAGTCCACCTTCAGCCAAGGAAACTCATTGGAAGACTTTAGCTAGCCTACTATATCTCAAAGGAGTGTTGCTGTGGGGATAAAACTGGGAGATGGGAGTGCTATTTATTCCATTCTGAGTTTCTGAAGGAAAGATGGGATATACATCTAATAATTAGGTAAAATCTAAAGAATTTTCAATGCTTTACTGTTATTTTCTAGGGAAAAGGGTCACAGAAAAATCTGGGTGTGAATGTCTGTCCTGCCTAATTAAATTGTGCTGCTAAGGTAAATATTAAGACTAATCAATATAAATGTTCCTAAGCTCTGAGGTGCAATCCTTAATGAAGTCTGGATTCTTTTTAAAAAGTTACCAGAGATTTATTTACAGGTATCTGAGCTTACAGTATCTACAAATATCCATGCTGAGGTTGAGCACAGGTGGAGATACAATTTTGACATTTCAACAGATAGCTACCTTCACATTCTCCATATCTGATTTTAGAGGGAACCATCAGTCCCAAATACTGCTCACTTATAAAATGTGTGGGCATCACAATACCTACACAAAAATTTTATTCAGCAAAGAGCAAGAGGTAACCACAGGACTAGGTCCTCACAAATATCACACTGGATCTCTTAAGTATGATCCTTTTGTGCCACTTAGCTACAAGAAAATAGCTCATAGAACCCAGTTTTAACATTTCACTTTGATATAACATTGAAATATCACAATTAGAGAAAAAAAACAATAATCTGAATAGCTAGGCTCTTAATATAGTTTTGTTTCATTTTATTTCAGTTTTGATTGTTAGAGAGAAGCCCATATACAATGCATTTTTAAACATCTCTGCAGGCAAAATATTTGTCACTGGTGAGCGTACATTATTACTTTCCTCTTTCATTGTCTCTGTCCAATAATCTTATTGTGGATGGAAAAGTATTTTAGTTTATAAATATTCCTCTGTATAATCAGTACTACAATAATATTTGACCATAGAGGTCAGCAACCAATCGGGTTCCTTCCCTACTTTCCTTCAGTGATGCTCACCTGGCAACTGGAAGGCAACCAGGCTACTGCCAAAATTGCCAGGTTAAGGGAAGGCTGCCGAAAGAGGAAGGGGCTAGTGACTTCAGAGCTTGGCTTGGTCAGAAAGATCAGCCCAACATTTTAATTCTCAATAACCAAGAGTGACCACTTCCATTCACTTCCCTTCTTTCTCCTTTCAGCAGGTAATCAAATTAGGTTCAGCCCAGGCTCCAAGAAAACAGATAACCGGAGGTCATGCTCCTCAAACATGTGAATGACAATAATAGCATGACTCCCTTCTTTCCCTCACTGTCTTCTTAAGATCCATACAGGATTTGGGTTCGTTATGGGCAAGGCAGCAGAGGATACCAGGTCCATAGCATCATGTTCACATGACAACTTTTATAATGTTCAGCCAGCAAAGACAGTGGCAGCTGCCCTTTCCAACTCCATTGCTACCCTGTTCTCCCCTTGGATAAGCAAGTGGCAGAGGTAGCTGTAAAGAGTAATATTTGTCTCAGCCTATTTGTCCTTTTCCTTTACAGCACAGTGGG